TAGGGGGGTAAGAGATCAACCAAAGGACTTGTATGCATGCATATAAGCCTAACCAATGGACATAAGACACTGGGGAATAGGGGAGGCTAGGGGACTGTCTAGGGCGGGGAAAAAAATGGACACATATGTAATACCCTTTGTAATAAAAATTAAAATTTGAAAAAAAAAAAAATAAAGTGGTTATAAATAAGTACAGTTCTTTCAAAGGGTTGCTGGGAGGATTAAATAAAATTATGTAATGTGAAATGCCTTACTAGATGTAAACACCTATCTTTATTTTAAAAAAATGGTTTTATCTAAATGAATTGAAGCTGGATAACATAGGCCTCAAACTCAGATGCTTCCAGGAGCCAGCCGTTTACATAAAGCTGAGAACAAGGAGCTCCAGGGTCTGTGGCGAACCTCAGAGTTCATGGCCATGGGAGGTAATAAACCTTCACCAACGGGAAAAACAAGTCCAATGTTGCCAGATTTTCCAAAATGTCAAGAGAAGTGGACATCTGGGGTTTTATGCGTAAATTTCTGTTTTTTAAAAATACTGCGCAGACCAAATAAAATCCAGGCCAGCAGCTTGTCATGCCTGCTTTCACAGCTAATTTTAGGGCTCCATATGCAGGCACAGAGCATGCGAGAGCTGAGAAACTCGGCCCGAAGAATTCAGGAGAAGTATCTCTCTCGTTGGGAAGGAATGTGCCAATAATATAAGCCCACGGGATTGTTTTGCCAAGGGCCTTACTCAGCAAACACATTCAACTTCTGGGGATTATTTTGCAATATCTAGAATATCCTCCAAGTTTCCTTTTTGACTCAAGGTTTTTCTGCCCACTCCATGCCTGATGCCCCTGTCTTCCAGCTTGACTACACATTCCACATTCCACACTGATGTATTTTTTTCTTTACAAGGCAGAAAATAACATTTCGTGGCTTTATATATAGCATTCATTTTTACTTAACAGCTACCTTCATTAGATATTCATTGAAAAGAGGTTCATTGTAAGTAACAGCTAGGTTGGGGAAGAGGGGGTAAGTGTCTAGACATTTTTAGACCAAACTTCTAATACACATCCTATATAATAAAAGGCTAATATGCAAATAGACCGAACAGCAGAACAACGGGAACAACTGAACAATCGAACAACCAGTCACTATGACATGCGCTGACCACCAGGGGGTGTGTGTGGAACATGCCGGGTGTTGGCAGAGACGGGATGGTGGAGCAGGTGAGCAGGGGTGCCAGACCAAGGCGGGGCACTGGTCACCGCCATCCGGGCGAGCCTCTGGTGGTTACTGAAAATTCTTTGCTCCTGCCCACCTTGGTCCTGCGTGGCGCTCACACCCACTGCCAGAGCTGGCTCCGCTTGCTGTGCCTGGTGCCAGTCCCAATCATTCAGCACCATCAGCAGGTGCAAGCAGTGGCTACCAGCCCTGATTTCCCCGGAGAGCTTCTGTACCTCCCCCTGCTCCTGAGGGTTGATCAGGGCAGCAGCTGAAATTCACACCTGCTGACAGCACCGGCCCTGCTCCCACCACCTAATGGCACCGGCCCCAATCACTCTGCGCCATCAGTAGGTGTGAGTGGGGCTGGTGCCATCAGCACGTGGGAACGGCGGCAGCAGTAGCAGGACTGCCAGCAGACAGGGGACCGGGAGTCACAGTGGGAGGGGCTGGGCCACAGCACAGAGGATGGGTCGAGACCGGCCCCTGTGCCTACCGCAGCCTCATGGCCCACAGTTCCTTTCAAGGTGCACGAATTTGTGCACTGGGCCCCTAGTTAAGAATAAAAACCAACTGTGTTCCAGTCCAAGAAGAAAAATAAATTACAAGCACATCAGAATAGGAAAAATAAAATAAAATGTTAAAATGAATAAAAGGCGAGGTCAGGGGAATGGGAGGGAAATAGCAGAATAGTTCAATCCCAACTTCTTAAAGATCTTTGAGGTGTTAATTTTTCTTTTTCTTTGAGTTGCTTTTACTTCTCTACCTCGCAAACTGAAGCCCTGTGGTTTATGCTTGACTTCCATAGGGCCTCTCCACTACTTCCTTCATGGAAAGAAGGGCTGATTGGGCAACATGTTCATTTTTTATTGTTTCACTACTTGCAAAATGTTCTTGGGCAAACTCAGCCTGGTGGTTAGTGTACAGGTTGGCATGTTTCAAGCCATTCCTCAGGAGATTGGGGGTGTTGCTGCCCTGAGTGCAGCAATCTTGTTCCAAACTTGAGGTTTCCAGTGGGCCTGGTCAAGATATGATCATGTTGACTTGGTTATGTTAGGATTTGCTTCTATCATGCAAAGAAGGTGTTTTGTGTTTTTTAAGTCAGCTGTGGCCAGGCCAGTGAAAGTAGGACCAAGTTAGTAATAAAATGAGGAGACAGTAAAACCCTGGTGGTTGAGAAGGGAACTCAGTGTGCAGGGCTGTCATCAGCACCAAGGCATCCTGTGGTCCAGGGTCAAAGGTCTAAGGAGCAGGAGAAACCACAGCCCAGGAGAGAGACAGGGACCAATGTCAAGGCCTCACGTGTGCCCTGCCTGCCCCCAGTCATTTTAATATGGAAAAGCCAATGGATTACTAAAGAGGTTAACATTTTTACATGTCAAAAAAGTGAGGTTAATTTTCATGAGAAACAGCAAAGACTAGTAGGAATAAGAGGCTGAGCTCTCTTGCTTGCTAACTCTGTGGCCTCGGGCAAGCCACTTAATCTCTTTGGGTTTTAATTTTACAAATGAAAGGTTTAGAAGATAGCCCTAGCTGGTTTGGCTCAGTGGATAAAGCATCGGCCTGTGGATGGAAGAGTCCTGGGTTCGATTTTGGCCAAGCGCACATGCCTGGGTTGTGGGCTCGATCCTCAGTGGGAGGCAAGCAGGAGGCAGCTAATCAATGATTCTCATCATTGATGTTTCTCTTTCTCTCTTTCTCCCTCTCCCTTCCTCTCTGAAATCAATAAAAATATATTTTAAAAAAAGATTTAGAAAATAAAAATCCAAGAATCCATCCAGATCTTAAGCTTTATAGCCAGGCATTTTCCCCTAACTTTTTATTTTGGAAAAATTTAAGTCTATAGAAAAGATAAAAGAATCGAATTAACACCCAAATTCACCACTTGTTAACATTTTGCCACTACATTTGCTTTATCTTTCTGTCTCTATTGCTATCTATCTACCTACCTATCCATCTATAGAGGAAATGCAGAGGAAAACTTATATTATTATTGTTGTTGTTGTTAAATTATTTAAGTTAAGTGGCAGACATTTATTACATTCTATCACTAAATATTTCACTATGTACCTAAGAATAAGAACTTTTTTTACATAACCACAATATCATAATCACATAAAAGAAAATGAAACTCCATATAATCTATTATCCAGTTCATATTCACATTTCTACAATTAAACCAAATTCTTGCACTCTTAATGTTTTTAGCCTTTAAAGTTTTAAAGTATTGAGTAGTGCTCATCTTTATGTGTTTTCCTTCTTTTTTTTAAATTTACATTGGCTTTTTGAGGATTCCACTTATTTTGTAGAACATTTCACACATTCTATCTAGATAAGGCTGTTTCCTCGTGGTGAAATTTATCATGTTCCTCTGTTTCCTGGACACTGAAAGCTAGGTCTGGCAACATGACCCGATTCAGGTTAAACGTCTTTGGCAAGAATGCTTCATAGGCAATGCTGTGTCCTTCCTGTTGCGTTACACCTGGAGCCGCATGGTATCAGAGTGTCCCAGTATTTGTGATGATGAGTTTGAGATGTGCAAGGTTGTGATGGCCAGATCTCTCCAGAGTGAAGGTACATGTTCTCCGCCTTTGTCCTCAGTAATCTGTGGAGTAACTTGACACCATATGAATAAACTCTTCCCCAAACCTCTCCCCAATGATAGTAACCGCTGAAGAGCCCTACCATGTTGGGGTTACAGGTATTATCAACTTCTATGCTTCCTTCTATGTTTACCAGCTAGGCTTCTTCTGTGGAAATGAGCTTTCTTTTTATTCTCTTTCTTCTCCATCTGAGACAGGCCAGTAAGCAAGGACAAGTGAAATAGGGAAGCTGAGATAGTTAAACAGCAGTTTGCAGCCATCTAGAAAATCTCGATACCAAGCAGCTTTCAGCCATCCAGTAAATCCTATCTTCCCTAAACCAGGGACACTTGAGAGTAAATGGTTTGCTCTTCTCTTCCCCAACCAGAGGGTGAATAGCTTAAATCACCCGACTCAGGAAGACAGCAGAAATCCAGTTCGTGCCATTTGTGCCAACCACACCCCGGGACAGATGAAGTTAAGGAAATAAGTCTCATGTGGATACGTCAGCATAAAGCTGATGAACATTCTATGGAGATCCTCCCCTAAGACCTCCCCTAATTCCAAGCCTTTAAAAACCTTAAATGAAGGTTCCAGGGCAAGTGCTCCCTCACAGGAGCATGGAGGTGCCTCCTCTCCCCCGCCCCCAACTTCTTCCCCCACAGGCATGTATCTCCGAAACTCTAAGGGACCTCAGGAGACTTGTAGCCAGGGCAGCAATGGGCAGTGACAGTTCATCCCAAGCTAACCCCCAAACCTGTTCCCAAGGCCCCCTTTTTACTGACTTCTTTTTTTTTTAATATATGTTTTTATTGATTTTAGAGAGAGAGGAGGGGAGAGGGAGAAAGAGAGAAATATTGATGCATCAACATTGATCAGCTGCCTCCTGCACGCCCCCTGCTGGGGAGCCTGCCAGAAACCCAGGCATCAAACCCGGACCTCTTGATGTCTGGATACATGGGGGATGCTCACCCGCTGAGCCACACCAGCCAAGCTTCCCTGACTTCTTAGTGAGCCAGAGCAGACCAGCCTAGGCTCATTTCCCCAGCCCTCCCTTTTTCACTGTCCGCAGCTTTAATAAACGTCCTCTACACTTCACCTGGACTCGTGTTGTGAAATTTTCCTACATGAAGTCAAGAATCCACATACTATAGGCCAGCCTCAGACAGACCCGCTCAGGGCCAGGTCCCCTTTCCAATAAAATAATCACTTTCTTTATTCTTTTTGATCTCCAAACGGTCCCAAATTTGGCTAGAGAGAGTCCCTTTAAGATGGGTCCTGGGTCCTTTTGGTAAGAAAGCATTGGTTTTTAGAGTTTTTCCTTGCTGCCTAGCAAGGAAATAATACATTTTTTATTTGCTTTATATTCTTCTTCTCTCGGCCTGAATTCAGCCATTCCCCCAAGGAGTCTTGTTTCCTTTTTTTTAAAAATATATTTTTTATTATTGATCTAAGAGAGGAAAGGAGAGGGAGAAACATCAATGATGAGAGAATCACTGATCGACTGCCTCCTGCATGCCCCCTATTAGGGATCGAGCCCGCACCATGTGCCCTGATTGGGAATCGAACTGTGACCTCCTGGTTCACAGGTCAACGCTCAACCACTGAGCCACGCCAGTCAGGCGTTTGTTTTCTGTTTGTTTGTTTGTTTGTTTTTAATGGAAAATAGTATTCACATCAAGATCTGAGCAATAAGTATGCTCACTCCCCTAAGTGTCATTATGTTTAAGTCCTTTCAAGTGGGCAAAGCTAGGAAATATATATACTTAAGACTCCATATATTTGAATTTAATAGAAAATGTTTATTTAAACTTCTTTTATTTTCTATTTTTATTTCTTTTCCCTTACAGTGAAGTTTTAATTTCTAATAATATTATTATATCCACTTGTTTGCTTTGTCTGACAATATATACCATTTCAAAATTATAATGCTATCATTGCTAATAACCAATAAACATAATAAAGCTTTATATGCCATTGAAATTCTTTTTGCTTTTACAATAGATCCCACTAAGCCTTAGTGACTAAGGGATGGTCAGCCAGAGTCCTGATATCAAAATTTACTTGAATCAATTCTTTTCTCCATGTGGTTACTTCATTAATACAATATAGCTAGATTCATTTGCTTTATTACTATATTTTAATTTTGGAGCTTGCCTCTTTCCATCCCTTTGAAGTTAATTTAATTTTGCAGGCATATAAGATATTCACGTGTTCTCATATGCATTCCCAACACCCCTAACCTTTCTACTTCTTTATAGGTTTTATTAATTTCTGGCTTATCCTCATTGTGTTTCTTCCTCATGCCCTGACCGGTTTGGCTCAGTGGATAGAGCATTGGCCTGCGGACTGAAAGGTCCTGGGTTTGATTCCGGTCGAGGGCATGTACCTGGGTTGCGGGCACATCCCCAGTAGGGGGTGTGCAGGAGGCAGCTGATCGATGTTTCTCTCTCATCGATGTTTCTAACTCTCTATCCCTCTCCCTTCCTCTCTGTAAAACATCAATAAAATATATTTTTTAAAAAAAGATCTTCCTCGTTCTTTTTCATGTATCACTGGGTATTTTCAAAGACATATTTATGACATGTCACTTTGGAAAACAAGAACCAGTAAGTACCTAACACTAAAACAGAGGATTTTCTTTTTCAGGGGGAACAGAGGCAGCTGCCTTTATTGGGGGCCATGGGTTGGTTGCCTTCACTCAATGGCCACACACTGGGTCTTGAAGCCTCCCTCTGCTGCCGGGTACTTGACAGCCTCCAGGTTGGGGAACTTGAAAGTGTATCCATCTGGCAGCATGATGGCCAGGTCTGCCTGTCAGAGGCGATGCACAGCTCCCTCTGTGACACTCCCAGGCTAGAAGGGAAAGGCAGACTCCCCCTGCTCGGTCCCCAGGTCCTGCCGTCCTGGCTGCTACACACAACGGTGTTGGCGTCCCCATGTGCACTGGAGGGAAGGCTGAAGTACAGGCACATGTTGTTGCCCAGGTTCAGCACGAAGCTCTTGGCATCGGGGCCATCTTGCCCACACTCTGAGATTCAGGTTGGTGGTGACCAGATCACAGGCCCTGACTGAGGACAGGAGGCACTGCAGCTCCAGTGGCTTGAGGCTCCACCTGACAGAGTAACGGAAGATTTTAAAGTTAGGAACAGACTTAGAGACCAGAAGACTCCCCACCATGTAGAGGATGCTGGGCTGGGCTGTCCAGATTCCCAGTTAGGACTAAAGAACAAATCCCAGCTGTTAGGAACGCCCCCGCTGAGCCTGCTGCTGGCTCTCCCCACGGGATTGCCCTGGGCTGGAAAGAGCTGACTTGGTAAAGATCTCACTCCCCTCTGAGGCGAGCCTCCATCCAAACACAGGCTGACGTGGAGGTACAAAGTCCAGGCCCGCCCCCTGTCCCAACTTAGGACAACTCTGAAGGTTCACAGGGCTCCAGCCCTCATGGGGGAGGTTGAGCCTTTGTTGAGACCGCATCCAGGCCCAACCTCTCCCTCTGCCCAGCCCTGATTCCGCCCTCCCCTGCTGTTGATCCTAAGGGCATGTCCTGGTAAACCTGGACCATCAGTTATCAAATCTTCTGATAATAAACCTACTACGTTACACTATGTCATATCAGCTTTTAGTTCCTTATCAATTTACTTAACTATCAAGAACTCTACATTTTAACACAATAGTCAAAATTTCTGGGGAAAGTAAAAAAACAAGTACCATGTGATTTCATTCATATGTGGGATCTAATAAGCAAAATAAACTAACAAACAAAATAGAAACAGACTCACAGATACAGAGACCAGACTGATAGCTGTCAGAAGGGAGGGGGTTGAATGAAAAATGTGAAAGGATTAAGAAAAAAAATCGCAAAGACACCCTCCTGGAGTGTGGGTGGGACCCATGACTAGCTTCTAGTCAACAGAAAATGGAAAACGTGCAGGGAGAGGGTAAAGGGGGGAAATGGTTTGGAAGGAGACTTGGGGTGGTGAACACACAATAAACAGAGGATATATTATAGAATTGTACAATTGAAACTTACATAATTTTATTAACCAATACCACCACAATAAATTCAATTAAAAAGTCTCTGTCTTTAGAGTTACTTGCCATCAAAGATAAACACTTTATTTTTCTTTTAGTTCAAACATAATGCAACCGATATCAGCTAAGATCTCTCAACCTTTTGTGATCTGGGTAAGATGGGCTTGAAGCCCCATTTCACACTCTGTGGAAATCCAAAGATTTCTGAAAATTCTCCAAGAGCTTATATTCTTAGAATAATTCTGGCTCTGGTTCCTGCTTCTAACTGTGCTGTCTGGCATAGAGTAAGTGCTCCTTACTCTATGCCATAAACTTGATTGTTTGTTAGCCGAGCCGTTCTCCTTTCTTTGGGGGAACAACGTCTTTCCTCCATCCCTGTCCACACAATAATCTGATCCAAGTCAGGCTGGCTATCTTTTTGACCCAGGGATGAACACATGACCTGATCCAAGCCCATTAGAGTCTCTTCCAGAGGATGAAAAATTAGAACTAAGGGGAAAAGGTCTTCGCCTCTCTGGTAGCAAAGCTTGGAGGATAAGGGCCTGGAAATGCTGGTAGGCTCATTCCCTGCTGACTGGGTTTATCTGTACTAGGAAGAAATAAAGCCAACACATAATGATGAAGAGAGAGATCTTATGCTGTTGTGTCCCTACATATCACAGTCTCTGAGGCCAGCTCTAGCTTTCCCTTTTACTTATTTATCTATCTATCTATTTATTTATTTATTTTACCTTCTCCTTTTCCAGAGTGTGAACTGAAAAATGACATAAGGGAGGTGATGATAAGTGGCAACAATTGGAGTGCAAAAAAAATGTAGAATTAGGAAATAACCCATTAAAGAATAAGTTGGAAATGACACAATAGGCAAAGAGGGTTTGTCAGATTAAGAATTTGACCATGTTTCACAGCTCATTAGCAATGCAGCCTCGCCCTGGTTGGTGTGACTCAGTTGTTTGGGTGTCATCCCATGCACCGAAAGGTTGCTAGTTCAATTCCTGAGCAGGGCACATGCCTGGGTTGTGGGCTCAATCTCTGGTAGTGGATGTGCAGGAGACAGTCAATAGATGTTTTACTCTCACATAGATGTTTCTCTCTCTCCCTCTCCCTCTCTAAGAATCAAAGAAAGATCTTTGAAAAAAAGAAAAAAGAAAAAAGAATCCACCAATGAATATTTGGATGAGTGGAGCAATGGATTGATGTTTCTCTCTCTCAAAAAAAAAAAAAAAAAAGCCTGTGGTTGGAGAGCACTTCTCACACCAACCCTTTACCTACCAGCAATACCCATGATTCCAAAAAACCCAGTCTCTCCTCCAGAAGAGTTACCCACAGAGGGGAATTTGCCGGTTTCGCCCATCTAACCTCTCAACTCTCTGCAAACTTCTGTAAATACAGGAGAAGCCTGGCGACTTCCTTTGCTAACTATTTACCAAGAAGGCTTAAAATTGGTGAGTTTCTATGATCTACATCGTATGAAAGAGTGACCTTTGAGTTAGCAGAATGGCCTTTAATGGGTTGTTCACTTGTCCACATAGTCACTTTCATCAAATAATCGAAAACCTCCAATTGCCCAACCCAAGGCTTTGTTAATACTGCTTTCTCTTTCTCTTACTAGGAGAAGAAAAGGTTTAGCTTTGCCTTCAATATCAGAGGAAGAAGACCTTTGTTTCAGTGGAATTTCCAAATCCTTCCTCTTTTGGGATTCTAGATAGAATAGTTTGCTGAAATGATGGACATGACATATGACTTATGAGATCCAACCTTCTAAATTCAATTCCTCCCCAACTCCATTTTGTCTCCAGTGGTGCTGTTCAAAAAAGTTCCTACCTAAATCCTCCACATACTGAGGCCTATGAGTTCTTACAGATGAAGGGTGTTTGGGCCATCACTCCCAGGTCTTCCTGGACTAGGGACATAACTCCAACTGGGTGGGCCACTGCTGGGGTCCTGATTGTGGGCATTTTCCCAGGGATGAGATTTCAAAATCATCCAGGATTTGAGATGAAATGTTGACACTACAGGGAGACCATGAAGAAACAGAAGCCATCACTTTAAACACCAAACACTGATTATAATATTAATTTTCAAAACTTAAATTCCATGAGCTCGAATTTCTGCATCCATAAAATGAAAGATTACAATACCTACTTCACACTGGTATTTTGCTCAGGGAATGCTAATTGAGTAAGTGAAACACCGAACTAATTAATTTGCTGAATAGATGAGTCAGAGTTCTTGGTTGCAAGCAATAGAAACTCTATGTGATTAACTTAAGAAGAAAGGGAATCTACAGGCAAGATACCAGGGAGCTCCCAGAATTGGCCAGAAAGCAAAAGAGCCAGCCCGGGAATATGGGCTAAATCCAAGGCAGCAGGAAGACAGCCAAGGTCTTGTCACAGTACCTTTGGATGTAGCAGCCTGCACTCAGCAATGCTGCTGCCCCCCTCTCCCCCCAAACCCGCCGCCCTGTGCAACCCCGTTCACCCAGTGGAACTTTCCTCTTAGGAAAGGTAGAAATTGGTCCCATTCTGCATGTCTGGGCCTCTGTGCTTCACCATGCAATCTTTGAAAAATGTCTAAATGTAACTATGTGAAGAAATTATTGCAATTTTGAAACATCCATTCCTTCCACAATCTGAGGAGTTCGTTTCAAGTTTAATCTATACCTGCATACCTGCTTCTGCCAAGGGCTTGAGCCCTTTTACAGATTAAAACAATAGGTAAATGAATGGATGGACAAATAGACAGAGAGACAGACAGCTAATCCATTTTAAAAAATAGCTGAAGGAAAATACGTGTCAGGCACCTGGCTTGAGCAGATGAGGATGTTGAGACAATGAATTGAACTTTAAGATAGCTGGCACCCGAGACTGGGGAAGGAAAATATGATAGATTACGTAGCTTTAATTTCCCTTTTCACACCAGAACTTTATCTATAGAGACAAATGTTGTCTGGCAATAATCTTATGGGAGAGATTTTCATTTGGGTTTCATTGGAAAGGTGTTAACATGAGAAGTAGACAGCGTCACTCATTATGGCTTCCAAATACAGAAAGGCTTTGTCAATGTATAAAGTCCCTGTGAAATGTCTTGTGAAGGCAAATGGTATCTCAGAAATGTTTCTTCCAGTCACGCTGAGACAGGGCCCAGCGCTTTGGCTCCCAGGACACGGTGCCCAGACGCCGCCTGAAGAGTGTGGCTGTACACCCCGTGGGGCTTCCAGCGAGCCTCCCTCCTCCATCGTCAGATGTGTTAAAGCCAAGTTTGGGCACAGGTTGCCCCACGCACGGATGAACCAACCTCCAGACACGCTTCTGTGGTGCTGCAGGCCGTCAGTGTGCTTAAAGCAGGCAGACTGGCATCTTGTTCTGGAAGGTTTCAAATCCAGTGTGTTCCGTTGCCCAGAGGGCAGCAGGGCCTCCGCTGCAGGCGTTGTGTCTACAGATGGAAACGCTGCTGCTGCTTTTCCCTCTTCTTCTGGAAGGAGCTCAGCAGCATCTCCAGCTCCAGAACCGTAACAGAGATTCCAGGACCCGAGAGGCCGCCCTCTAGCAACGTGGATGCTCGTTGGAAATGGCATCGTCCAGGGGGAGATGGCATTGGGAGCCAAGAGGCAAATCCTGGGCTGTTCGTTGACACAGGAGAGAGCTGGGGAGGCAATTAGAGCCCGAGAACAGCACTGAGTTGAATGCTTATAATGAAACCAGCCCGAATGCAGGAAACCTCAGCGTCATTCCAAAGGGTTTGAGGCAGAATTTTCCCATTTTAGGGAGGAATCAAGATCAAGACAAAAATAAAATTAGGTTAGTAAGATGAAGTGTGGCGCCAGAGAGCTTTTCCGGAAATGCATGCCACACTGTCCTGTGGAAGCTGGGTGAGCCCTGCAAGGAGAATGAGCCAACCCCCTCTTCTCCCCATCCCTGCACTCCCTCCATTCACCCCGCCCCTCCCACTGTGGCAGCACACCCAGGTAGCAGGCTCCGGATCCATCCACTCACCACAACCTCCCCATCCCACAGAAACCCACATCCTGGCTAGGCTGGGCCCCTTCTCTTTTGGTAATTTTCATCCTGCGTGGGGATG